CTAAATTTCACAGAATAAATCTAGAAATAACATAAGGAACAACAAAAGAGACATTTGGCAATATTAGACCGGTATTTGCAAGGGCAGACGAGCACCTGCGCACGAGGCGACGAGGCAAGGCGAGCAAGGCGTGTCTCAACTGAGAGGATGCGGCGCGCATAAGCAGCAAGCGAGGATCGACAAAAACGTTCTGGGAGGGGTAAGCTCGAGAACGAAGAATAGAGGTTTGTCCAGCGACGACTCATGTGCCCAGCAGAGTGCAGAGCTGGTGTGAAGTTGAGCTCTGACCGACATATTATACAACTACGTACTGAATTGCGCAGGTTATCGAACTACTGCAGCTTCCATTTACTCAGATCTACTTCTGGAAGTTGATTGCACGGCGTCAGTTGAGGACCAGGTAAGAGGAAAGCATCCTAAATGGGAAAAAATTTTGAATCTTTGGAACACCTTACCAGCTTAGCAGGACTGAATGACAGTCGCTTCTACTTACCTGAGATATCACTTCGAAGTGGTCTCCATTGTCACATATTACTCGTGAAAGTGAGGATTTACGAATTTCTACCAGCTGAGCTGGGGTGAATACTCCTGGATTTTCATAGAAGAACCTATATAAACTTGTTGTCAAACACATTTCCCTTCGGCACTAAGGAGACTTACCTATCGCCGTCTCGAAGTCGTTTGAACTGTTCCCCGATAACACAGCTAAGCGTCGTGCCAACAAGTCCTCCAACAACAGGATCTTCAAGCATGGAACCAACGTAGAAGTCCACATCGTCTAAAACATCGATGACGTGAAATTCCGCGAATTTTTGTGGGTGTTGTGACGGAACAAACCAGTTGTATTGTAGTGCTTGCCCAGGCCAACTCGTAGATTTTTATCCAAAATCATGTCAGAAAAGTCCTCGAAAGTCTTCGCTTTTGGTAATCCACAGAATGTTCGCATAGTATTATACGAAGGAATTGCATGATCGCGACCGCGTTGAATATTGAGTGATCCGAGATCGGTGCTAAGCAAACATAACCGACTAAGATAAGGTAAAGCAAGCGAGTTATGTCTCACCTTCCAAACATCTTTTCAGTAATGGCAGGAGTCATGCGGTGTGGTCGCTTGACGGGTGAGCTCATAAATCCGCGAAGGATAGGATCGATACCTCCTCAAAACAGAACTTTTTGGAGTAAATTCGTTAAATATGAATAAAGGTTTCCGCGGATTCTTCAAGCCAACATAATAATTCATTGATTTGATAACAGCTCATCAGAGGTCCTGATAACCCAATATGAGAATTAGAAGCAGCATTAGCTGACAAAATGTATCGCCAGCAAGTTTTGCACCGCGATATAAAACATTGTAAGAAACAACTCAGTCTGTTGAGAAAAATTCAGTAATTTTTCAAACTGCTTCTGGAGAGACCACTTATCTTCGCAATGAGAATAAACAGTAATGTCAGCCAGGTTGCCTTGATGTTGCTTAGAGAAAATATCAAAATACTGGATTTTTAACGAAGACGAAGCATTCCTTACATTGATCAGTAAATAATCTCTATAATAAGGCGGATTGCAAAGTAACAGAGGCAATACGAACCAATGACTTGTTCGCAAATCGTGAAAATATGTTAAGATGGTAGCTTATGCAAGAAGTTAACCACTATGTTTGTTTATTAAGTAAGAAATCTCCTACAACGACCAATTTGCAAATACTAAGTTTAACAATACATCATGTCTGTATTTAGTGCAATCCCTACCAATCGACGTGAAATTTACCTATTAAAGCTTGGGATGTGGTGACGCATGGAACAAAGTAGTAACGCCCATAACTACCTTAGAGCTTTGATCTTGCTAGATGGTATATTACAAGGAAATACCTGGTTACAGCATACCAAATCGTACTTTTTAACCCTACATTGCAAACCTTCAAAAGAATTAGTGGCAGCAAGAAAAGACGGAGAAAAGAGTAGTTTGACAAGTCTGGGTAGTTTTTCTATCACAAAGAAGTTTTGGCATATTTTCCCGTATTTTTTAATCACAGCAGATAATATTAGAGTCGTCAATCCTATAAAAAGGCCTTCTTTGACGTTTTTCTCATTTGATTTAAGAATCATGAAGCAATGTAGAGCAGAAAAGAATTACTTTTGTCTTGTTATGTCTATTAGAAAACATTTCTTATAGTAGGAAGTGAAATTGTGTCCCTAAAGCTGATTAATTCTCTTTACGAGTTTTTCCTTCGTATCAAAGAACTAGGGAGTACAGCAGGTTTTGATGCTGTAATGAAAGCTAACAAAGGAATTCCATATTATGCCCAGGAGTGGAATGTGAAGGTTAACTGTTTGTGTTCTTGAAGATAATTCAATCAAATCGTGTCTAATGAACCACTCCTACACTGCTATTTCCATAGGAATAGTTAGAAGGTCAATGAAGTTTACCTTCAAAGAGAATCTTGCTCGATTTAAACACGCCATCACCAAAGAAGAAACCACCATGAGTAATGTTTTCGCCAGAGAAGTCGACTCGTTTGTAGAATTCCTAAAGAGTTTGAATCATTTCAAA